ATTTCTACGAAGAATCTGGGATACTCCCAATGTTAGTATTCGGGTTGGTTGCTATCTGTTCACTTCTTTAATTGAGTGTCGCCAACATTACTATAAATATATTTGTACGATAGCTAAAACTTCCATGTAAATAAAATTTCGGAGTGGAAATATAGTACGTAAGAGTTTTGTATTTCCAATCTACTGGGTTGATTGACAAAATGTAAGTTGCATTTTTCATCTCTCGAAAGCGCGGCTTAAGATGTAGATTAGATTCATATATATATATATCGAAATGACATAAAGATTCTTGTTTTTTCATATTTCAGTTCTACGACTCAAATTATGCCAAAGTGCCAAGTTTTGTAAAAATCGCACAAGTAGCTTTTAAAAAATTAGCTCTCAAAATTTTAGCTCCTCAGTGTTAACTGAATTTGGTATATATTTATTAATATATCTTCCCCCCCTTAAACTTAACTTCATTCCTTTTTTCAAAATTCAGAATTTAATTTTTCCATAATATTTTGAATTTTAACTTTTAAAATTTTACTATCATGTAGGCATACCTGACAAAAATTTTAGGTTTTTATTCAAAAAATTCCTAAAAAATACATGAATTTACATATTGGCACATTTTAAAATTTGGCACATTTCTTAAAATCCAATTTTCTGTCAAAATACCTAAATTCGTGCTTTCGTGATTTCCAGACATGAAAAACGCAAATTAAATTTCGTCAATTGCCCCAGTAGAACGGGAGATAAAGAATTGCCCCCCTGTTTTGTGCAGAGTGTACATTGTATTACTATAATTTTATATTATCAATATACGTACTCAGAAATTTACAAATTATAATACACAGCCTTCTCTAAAATAACCAATAAATTATAATTTGAGAAACTACTCGCACCGCCATCTAATAATGAATAGTCGAAGTGATGTGCAATACATCTCAGTAAGGTTGGCAACACTTCTTGGTCTGTCTCTTTAGTTTTATCATCATCATTTGTTTTTACTAGCTTGCTCTCAAAGTGAATAATGCCACAGTTTTGTAATTATTGTCACTTGTATTTGTTTTAGCATGGATCAATATTTAAAATTTGGTCCCATTAAGAAAAGAAAAAACATTGAATTATTAAATGGTCTCATTCCACCATTAAATGGTCTCATTCCACCATCGAAGACCAATTCTTGCGATGGGCAACCTAAAGGGAAATTGTCGCATATTCGTGAAATGAAGCTCCAGTTATAGCTTCACAACCGGGAAAAGTGAGAAAATGTTGTAAACAATATTTACCATATGTATTTCCATTCGTAATTATTGAGAACGTCAAGAGACCTGAATGTGTTGTTTGCGAAGAAATACTGTCTAACGGTAATATGAAGCCTTCACTTAACCCGTCATTTGCAAATTAAACACTCATTTCAAAGACTAAAATCTGACTTTTTTAAAAAGTTTGCTACTTGTCGTCTAGTTCCACTAATGAAGATGCTGTTGAAGCTTCCTGTCGCCTCAGTTACCGTATCGCCAGAAATGTTTAAAATTATACGATTGGTGAAATTATGATTCTGCCGAGCATTAAAGATGCAGTTTGTCATATGTTCGGTAATGAGTATATTCATAATGTTAATGCTATTTAATGCCATCCCTCTCTTTATTGACACAGCCTCTCCCAGAATCAAAGAAATTTCCATTTCCGATAATATGGAGGAGACAATGATGAAAGAAATTAATAATAGTAAATACTTTTCCAATTCAAGTTGATGAGTGTACCGATGTAGCACAATCTGCTGTTTTTATAGTTATTGTAAAGTAATTGAAAGGAAATAAATTTGTAGAAGGACTTTTGCTTAGTCATCTTCTTTCTGAATGTACGACAGGTGCAGATATTTTTCATTCCATTGAGTCTTACTTTACTGAAAAGAGAATAAATAGGTCAGAGTGCTGTGGTTAAGAACTGAAGGTGGTACGTGTACGTCAGGTTGTTACTCTGGTCTCCTCGGATGTATCAAAGCAGCAGAACACCCTTGGTAAAGTGGACACATCGTTGCATCCATCGACAAACTAGCATCGAAGCCTCTTCCTACTTGTATGAAAGACATTCCGCATGATTTTGTCAAAGTGGTCAGTTTCATCAAATTCCACCACATGAATTTAAGGCTATTCTCATCATTGTATCAAGAAATCGGTCGCATTCACAAAATTCATTCCTTTATGGTGAGGTTCAATGGCTGTTCTTGTATGTTTGTTCGAGTTCAGACATGAAGTTTCTTTCAGAACCACTCTTTTCGACTTAAACCTGTTGATCATGAGTGGCCTCAAAACCCTGCAAATATGCCTGATAACTTTTCGAAATTATGCCAGCTTAATTTGTCCCTTCAGAACAATGAAGTTATAGAATGTGCAAATAGAATCTTTCGTTAAAAAGAATAGAATTTTGGAAATTATGCATTGAGAACAACCAATCTGAAGTTCTTGAAGCACTATGCGATTTTCTCTCTGAAATGGATCTTCACGCATCTCAAGAAATTAAGAAACAAATTATACAACATCTGAATGGACTTAGGCAGCTTTCGAAACACATTTTCCCAAACGTTGAACAGATGGCATCTTCGATTGCGTTCCCGTTCAGTGAAAAGTATTTCCAGTGCGAATCTTTATCAGTCCGAGAAAAGTTGATTAAACTACAAACGGATTTTTCACTTAGGTAGAATTTGGAAAGAAATCACTCATCTCATTCTAGAATGACTTGAAGAAGAATATTCTGAACTATACAATACGCCAAACACTATTCTGCAACCGTTCAGAATTGTGTTCAGAATTGCAACCGTTCTTATTAGTGGCGAGGGCTTCCTCGTCTTAAGCGTACTGGAAAAATAAGTACAGGAACATATATCGCAGTGTAAGTTCGGACTTCAGACTGTATTTATCATCTTCTGTTCAGGATTTTAAATTACTGAATACTGCCAAACAGCGTTAAGGTTCCCATTAAATGTGCTCATATTTTTTAAATTTAGTTAAAATGTGTATGTACACCATTTTTGCATAATTGGTAAAAATAAAAATGTCTCTCTATTACACAGTTATTTTTGTACATGTAGACATAAGTAATTAGACATAATAGGAATGAGGGTGGGGTACTTGGAGCAATGATGCAAAAATGGTGGCAAATTCACCAAGGGAACAAAGTCAAGGGGTACGCGAGCAAAAAAAGTTTGAGAAATGCTGCTCCACATAGATGAGTCCAGATGTATGTACTTCACTCCGTCGTGTGATTCACCTTGTGTTATGATCTGGAGAAAGCAAGCAACACGACACAACTTATTACGAAAACAGTTTTAACCAACGTTGCCACGTGGCCGATTTTTTTAACCGGACAGAATAAGTAGGTTCTAAAACCATATTTTTGAGGGCGCCTGGAACTTGAAAAATGTGAAAAAAAATTCGCCGATTTTCGGATTGACGATATGACACGTTTCTCTGCAAGAAGCGACCTTTCTTTGACTGTAGATCGTTTCGGCGGCGGTAGATCGTTTCGGCGGCGGTTTCAACGTGCTTGCTAGACGTAGCAAGCACGTTTCATGACGTATATTGATTATTTATGGTATTTAATATATGGTTATATTAAGCAAGCAACATGGAACATACATACGATTTTAGCAGCATATTATTATTATCTTTAAATTTTTGCTATATGATTACAAAATTAGAAACCGACTTAGTTGTTCCTGCAATACATTCGATGGCTTCTAGTATAATTCTTTGATAATAATCAATAATTTAAAAAAACAGAGAAGGGATACAATTATTATTATTATTATTATTTATTTATCTTTATTCACTCTCGTCCTTTGTCTGAGCAAACAGCATAAAAAGAAGGCAAGAGTGCTTTCAAACCTTAAACAGAATTTTGCAAATTTAATTTTTATACGGTTTCAATAGAACAGAGTTTCCATTTAGCATCATATTCTTTCAATTATCTGCATTCAACAGGCAACGTTTAGTTGACACTAAATGTACTGTGGCATATCAAGTTGCGATTAAAAAGAAACATTAAGACTTACTTCATTCACTTAATTATTATTATTATTCATTTCTTCCCTTCACTTAATTATTATTAATATTCATTTATTTTTTAGTTTTTGTTGATACAGGGTTAAAGCGATACCTTTCTATACAGCTGAATTACGATACAGGGCTTAAATTCGACCGGAGCTAGGTCCCGGTACTTTTCAGTTTTTGAGCAAAATCGTAAAACCAAAGCGCACCAGATTGCCAAGTAAGACGAGCTCCGATCTATTGCCATTTAACTGAATCGCGGTATTAGTAGAAAAATTTGTTATCAATGCTACATTTTATTTAAAAGCTAGTAAAATTGACGCCCAGTATCCCTGAGAAGAGTGAAATAAGTTGAAAAATTTGAGTAGCTGAGGGAAAAAATCCCATTGAAATGTTATCCCTTTAAAACTAGGAATTTTATGGGTTGTACCCATCTAATTAAGAATGCTTCAGCTGCACATTTTGGTCAAGAAGGCTGAGCCAAAATGAAGATACAGTTTTATGCGAGATGGAGAAGACTATTCGAAATATTTACTTTATTTTTTATTTTTTAGTCTCGTCTACCATACCTTATTATTATTAATTTAATCCACTTTCATCTGTTTTACTGTCATTCAATTTCTGCTTTATTTCTTTTTATTAATCACCTATTTATTGTAAACTTTAATTTATCTCTTTATATTTTATTTAATTTTAATATTCATTATTTTTTGCTTTGTTTATTATTATTATTTACTTATATTTTGTTTACCGCTTCTGCCACAGGTGTATGGAACTTCTAATTTTAGAAATTAAACCTAATGTGACATAAGAATATATTATATAATTCAAACAATAAAAATAAAATTTAGGAGGGGAAAAAGAATTAACTATATCCAACAACGCTATAAAAATTAACTCTTAAATCAACTGCTGTGTACGCATAGTGAAGCTAGGGGGAAGAAAACAGATAAGAAAACTTACCAAGGGAACAAAGTCAAGCAGTTTCGCGGGAAGTTTTTAACAGCCAAATTTGCAAGATGACGTCAAATCCTCGTTTATTCAAACCCACGTGAGCAGAAGGGAGGTAGGGGCGCAATAACACGCGCTGGTAAATAACTGAACGGCTGTGTAGAGAAATGATCCATAGTTTCGTCCTATCTGGGGAAGGGAAAAAAATATGTTAATAATACACTCAGCCAAAAATTAAAGGAAAATGAGGGGGGGGAACGTGGCTCATGGGAAAAGGACAATTTTAAAAAAGCAAAAACATAGCAACGTATGAAATTCACACGAAATGGAATTATTTCAAATTACATCATCAAATTCTCAAAAACTGTTTTTGAATTAAGTAGCGGATTTGCTGGAGTTTACCGTATGTACTTGATGAAAGGATTTTGGTTTCTCTTGATGCAAATTCATAATTAAAATAATACGCGGGTTAGGTTAAAAAGCTACAATAATAGTATTTACAAGTGGTGAATATACATGGATTAGAGGTGGCATAAAACTTGAAAACGGAAGCTCTCTCTCTTTTATCAGATATAAGATGAATTTTTCGGAAAATTCATTATCGAAGTATTTAAAAAAAAATCTCCTAGTTTATATGTTTTCTACCACATGAAAGTTATTCAGTTTAAAATAACGACACACGATAAAGTAAATATTCCTCAGGTAAATAATCTTTAAGTATGTCCTAAAATAGTTAACTATGTAAGAAAGGCTTTAACAAAAATTTAGCCCTTGACACTCGGCTGTCCTCAGTGAAGAGACATCGCAACTCTAAGCATACCACTCGTATATCCTCTCGCAGGGAAAATTAAAGTTTATTGGTGATTACATAGGAAAACCTAAGCCAGCACAACTTTTTTAAAAATTGGTATCTCATTGAAGGTTTTTGTCAAAACGGTATAAAAATTAAACTAAAATATATAAAAAAATATCAGCCTTTGTTGGGTTGGAAGGAAACATCTGAAGTTCATTCACGTGTGGTCTAAACTCCATTGTAAAAAAAAAAAAAAAAAAAAAAAGGATAAGGAGTGTTTGTATATGAAAGTAGATTTAATTACACTCTATGTAGGGTTCTGTATAGTTTGAAAAGGCAGATAAACATGTTTGAGACTATAGCTTAAAGAGATTTTCAAGAAGAATGCAGTTCCTCTTGAAGTACGGAACTCTATAGATCGAGATCTGCGCTAAGTTTTCCCCTTTTTGATGAATTTTATTTTGTAATTTCATGTTTCGTAATCTATATTTTTACGAATAAGTGCCATCGAGTTCTGATCAATCAGTCGTAAGAAAGCTCTGAATGAAATAGCTTAATACAACAAATAATGTGAATATAAGTTCTGCTTAGATATATCGAGTAAAAATGATAAGAAAAGAATGAAGAAAAGTTTAGTTGATGAAATGATATTAAAAATATAAACTTTCAGAGCCTATCATAATATGACAAGCTTCAGTGCGAAAAATAACTTGGCGTGAAACCCATCACATGGGCTTAGAAACGCAAGGCAGTCGCAAGAAACTGCAGCCCTCGAAGTTTAAAAGTAAATCAAGTATGCTGGTGGTTAAAATTAAAAAGTAATTATTATAATCATGAAATCAGGCTAAGAGTTTGTAACTGATTTTAAAAAAAAAGGCAAATTTACCAATAGAGACATTTACAAGCAAAGTGATATAAATGTCTCAGTTGGTACGATGGTAATAAAGGGAGTTACTCCTGCCAAACTATGTAGAAGATTTTGAAAACTAGGAAACTGTTCTTCAAGGTATAATTATTTAACAGAATGTACCATCTCCTCAAGCGGGAAATGCACACTTCGTACCATCTTCCCATATTATTAATTAAAACAGCAATCAAAGCGGATGGGACCAAAAGCAACGATTTTTAAGAGGGAGAAGTTCCACAGAGAAAAATGGCGCTAGGATTGACGACATGCACCACACAATTATTGAGATAGCAGAGTAAGTTAGACAATTCATTCAAGCAATATACTAAGTTTTGGTTGTATACAGCTAGCATATGAACTCAATGAGGTAAAGCATTCCTATCCATGAACACAAAATCTGGGTCAAGACACTCCTAATAAACTTATTTCGGTACATAAAATCTCGTCTACGTCCCACATCCATCATATGCGGTTACATATAATAAACTGCTGCCATGCGAGGCTACACATCTGTCACATATACGGCGCTCGTGCCACCGTTTCTCGTGATTCTTTCCCGAAGGAAAAACAGCCACCATAAAAACACCTTGTTATCATCGCTTGTGGATTTCTAGTCTCTCTTCAGATGGAAATATTTCGAGACACACTTTATTTATAATCAGGCCTGATTCATCCGCGAACATTATTTGAGCCAAGGAATTTAACTCCACTTATGAAGAAGAAAGACAAGTTCATCTTAAATCTCTGAAAGACGCAAAAAGCGGGATTCAACGGATTGGTCACCTCGCATAAAGACGCGTTCACGAAGACCTCGGTACATAGAAGGCCTGTTTATTCGAATTCCTGTGGCTGCACAGAAGTCACGAGGTAACTGTTTGGTGGCCGTGTAACAGTTACTGGCAATGAATAACAGGGTCTTTAAATGCTGCAGTTATCCAACGATGACCTTTACCAGCAAGACGACAAACAATTCTCATACTTAAAATGCGTTTCCAGATTCTTTACACCACGCTTTGAATAACATTCATTTGCCTCAGGACGTCCAACAATGTTTGGCCCGTGGCGAATGAACCGATCACTCTCTACTGGCCTTCCTCTAATGACATCTTTCAGACATGGTTAACAACATCCTTCCGTTTTCTAACTTACAAATTTACGTTTATCTAATGCAAAACTGCAAATATGCGAGACGTCAAACGTATTTCCCTCAGTGATTTCCCAAACATTCTTCATATTTGCAAAATTTGGCAGCAAATACCTGCGCTGGGGAAGGATTTTATGTTCAGTAACATATAAAAACTAAACTCGGCGGCACAAACAGCCCTTAGACAGCTATGGCCGGCAGTGCCCTGATATCTGCCTTCTAGACCGTGGGCTCCGGGATGCTTGTGCATCTTAGACTGGACAAGTGTCAGTTTGTCGCAGGACCCCCGGCTTAGTGACATATAATTACCATAAATGTGGTAGACATTAATGTGGTAGACATTATGGCTATAGCACAATTAAAGCAAAAAACAACAAAAAAGTTTGAATAAATATTATTTCAATGTGCACACTCATCAAAATTCAACCATACAAGGAATATTTGCTTCATGCCTACAATAATTTCGAAACTAATTTTTACAAATCAGAAAGGTCTTAAATAAGAATCAAAATAGAATAACTTTTCCCTCGAGACAAATATATCGATTGGATAAATCCATACTATTAGCCTTCTTTATTATTTCAAAAAATGTTTCAGTTCAGAACCTCACAGCAGAGCAATGTCAGATGCTAGTAATGGAACTAAACTAAATTGGATAACGTAATTTACTGAAAGCACGCAGAAGCTACGTGCAATATCCAAATTCTAACGGAATGACACTTCTTGTCTCTTTGCCACCATTTCTCCAGAAGACTCTTATGCTAGCAGGTTTTAAATGTCCTAATTCCGCAAAGTCAATAGTCATAAATGTATCTTTGCCTTGTTAAAAATTCGGAAAACGGCGTGTGCAGTTAACTATTCAACATACGAAATAGTTAACGTAAACTGTACCAGGAAAATACGAAAGTTGGATGACAACGATTTTGTTCATCGTATGGTCTGCCATTTAATAAAGTTCCTTTAAATTTTAATATAACAAGAAGTACATCAAACACGCTTCCTTCTTCGTGTTTTAAAGCAACAAATATAGAATTAGATTTAACACAGATTTGATTCAAATATGATAGTGGATAGGGGCTTGCAGAGTTCAGAGTAAAGCCATTTCATAAAGCGCTCTTAGAATACAATAAATAAATAAAAATGAAAACCATAAAACTATTCAAAAGCGCACAGTTGTTTTCATCTTAATAAAACATATTTTTATAAAGTTTAATTTAAAATTTCATCAGCCTTTTTCAATAAAATTCAGCATTTTGCTTATATGGATAAGGTCATTATAACATAATGATCCACTTCTTTATATACAAGTTTTCTTCACACTTCGCATACTGGTCTACAACCAAAAGCAGTTAAACTGAAGTATCTGTTTGAAGATCTTGTTAGCAATCAACTACACTAGTGCCCAAAACTTAAGCAACAAATACATTTTTCAACATACAACCATGAAATTGTTAAAAAAAGCTTATAAATCAGAGTGACAAATATTTATTGCACAACTTAAAAATTTTTAAAACTCTGTATAAGACGTTAGACCGTCATCATGGCATGTGGTTCCAGATATCGTTTCACGTAGTACTAGGGGCTATGGGACCCATTCGCGAAATCCTGGAGGTGAAGAATCACCATCCACCACCTTTTTTTTTTTTTTTTTTTTCTTTTTTTCCCCACTGTAGAATTATTAGGTTATTTTGGAAGCAGGAAAGACGAACAATGAGCAATGCCCTCGCCGGAACTCAAACCTGAACCTCTCGAATACGCGTCGAGTGTAGTACCGTTACATTACGAAGGCATGCAGAAAGGCGGGAGAAAATACCTTACATACTTCCCCTTCTAAAGGGCCACTGGGGATTAGGGGACCCAGTCGCCAAATCTTGGTGGTGAAGAAGCATGATCCATCACCTTTTAATTCCGGCGCTACTGTAGAGTCATTAACGTATTTTACGGACTATAAGACGCACCTTTTTTCGCCAAAAAAATTGCATCCAAATGCATCTGAAAAGAGGGGTGCGTCTTATACTCGATAATAATAAAAAAAACGGTGCTAAACTTAATCCAATAATCATTTTTAAGCGTAAAACAATGACAAAACTTTTTGAAATACAGCCAGGTGTTGTTCACGTACATGACAAGGGCTGGATGGACGAGGATGGTATGAAATTATGGATTAACAGAGTGTGGGAGAGAAAGAAAGGTGCTTTATTGACCAATTCTTTTCTTGTGCTAAATGGGTTTAGTAGCCATTTGAAAAATTCAGTGAAAAAGAAACTGAGACAAGGAAATACAGAGCTTGCTGTTATTCCGGAAGGACTTACTTCACAACTGCAACCGCTTGATGTCTCCATAAA